CCTCCCATTTTTGGATTAGGTCGATGCTCTTCTCCTCCACCTTCTGGACGAACTCTTTGCTCTTCTCCTCCACGTCACGCACCTTCCTCTTAACCTTGTCGACGCGCTCCTGCAGGTGGTACTTCTTCTCCTGGTGTGAGAACGGCAATTATTTGGTTATTTATAGATATATATATATTTTTTTCTTTCTTGACCTTGAAAACAGCGAGACGGCAGAGGAAGAGGCCACAAAGGCGGCCATGTCTGTGACGAAGCAGAAAAAAAAAAATCATACGTTGATGAAGCTGACGTTGAGTTCTTTGGCTGTGTAACCTCGCTGCAGGTTGCGTCTGACGTACACATCGTAGTCGCGGACGATGCGGGTGATGATGTCAGAGGTGGAGATGCCCTCTGTCCGCTGGGTGGGAGCAAACATGCCTGTTGAAACGAACCATGTTTAGGGTGAAGTTGCGTGTCACTCCTCCTCAGAGTATAAGGTTTGTGGGACAGCAAGTTCAATTTTGGTTTGACTGGTTGTTACTGAAAAAGTTCTAGAGACCGGCATAAATACTTTTGCAACACATTGTAGCCAAAATTGCACATTTGTCATTTCAACAATCAGAGTTGTTCAGAACGTTGTGTGCATCCCAGGGGATTTAAAGCATTTAACCCAGAGGAAACGCACACGAAAAGCCCAGCAGCCATTGTCAAACTACAGAAAACACTTCGATCTTTGCGGGACACGTCATCCATTTTTATTGCCTTCTCGACTCACCTGCTTCTTTAATGTGCTTGTACACGTCATCACTCCCTGCTGATGAGTATGGGATGTCATCGTGGGCCACAAAGTCGATCTGAACGGGTCATTACAACACACATCACTTATCAGAACAGATTTGGACTGATAGTTTGCTCAAGAACAAGAAACCAGACAGCCGTTCAACTCGGATGTGTCTTTGTGTTGAAAACTCACGCGATGTTTTGCGAGGAACTCTGGTGATAACGTCCAGGGAGCGTTTCGCACCACTTCGTCCACGTAGCGGCAGTGTCTGACGGCGTCGTAACGCTCATCCTCGTTCATCACAGTGAAGCCCTTGTATTTGTGGGTGAGCTCATCACTGCAGACTGTCAACCCAAGGAAATGTTTGCGTTAATCACTGGGTTAACCCCTTTAGGGGAAGTGTTGCAAAAACTCCTCCCACAACCAAGCTGGTGTTGCAAAACCCGTAATAACTGTAGATGCCTCATCTACACATACCAATGTTCATATTGGAAGCACTTTACTGCCAACTATTGGCTATAGTTATGATCAATTATCCTGAATTTTTTTTTATTTGTGTACTAAGTATCTAAATGAATGTTTCATTTACAAAATGCCAAAATTGCAAATGCCTGTTTTTCTCAAACATTCGACTAAGATTAAATCTGCTGCAGATGCCAAATTACATCAGCAGGTGGCGTGATGTTGATTTATCCTGAACAGTTTCACTACCTAAATATTTGTACTCTATTGAGATGACATAGATGAAATTGTTCTCAGTAATATTTCTATCGGACTTCTGATTGTTGATTTGCCATCTCTCCTTAGCTGTGCAGTTTCAGCTTTTATGATGATAGGAATGTGGGTTGTGCAGCTCTGGATATGAAAGCTAAACAATCTTCTTTATTTGCTTTGCAAATACTCTTGACAGAAAGCATGCATCAGCCCAGAACTCTCTCAGAAGCTGCTGTGGAAGTTAGTGTTTCACACGCAAGGAAACAAAAAGCTGAATTTCAGGATGTTTGAAACCAAAATCCTCATAAGGAAAAAGCAAATAGTCAAGCAGGAAGTTATATTAGACTTCTATAGAGAAATATATATAGTGCTTTAGGCTTTAGAAAGAAATTGCAGAGACATGAATTGGAATACATTTCATTATTTCAGTCGAGGAATTTATCCAAAAGGTAGAGATTAGGATTTGTGATTATGATTCTGCTTTCAAATGTACTTCTGAAGCTTTTTTATCCAATTTTATTTTATTGTGAGTCTAAAAACACATGAGCATTGAACAGATGTGATTTTATTTCTTATTAGTTCATCAATTTTCTAAATCTAGATGGTGTTTCCCTTCCCCTACATTATTTACTCAGATATTGCAAACCTGTGCTCCAAAACGTCCTCAGATGCTTCTGGATGTTAGTCTAAGTGCAGATAAAAATTTGTTTGCAAAGAATACTGTTTTAATCGTTAATCCACTTGAAACATGGATCACAGTGCAACTATGTTTATTTTTTTTTTAAATATTTTTCAAATTCTGTAAGCACACTCAGAAGAAGGCGTTTATATGTTAAAAGCACAGCTTACTGTCACTTAAGTTTCATTTAGACCTTAAATGATCACTTAGTGGGCAAAAAGTCTGTGTATGTGCAAAGTTTTGTCCTTTCCTTGCCACGTCATGGTGAAGTTTAACCCAAAATCCAGACTTTTACACTCAACTCACCTCCAACAATGAGATGTGAATTTGGAAAGAGGCGCTTCGCCTGCATCAGAGCTCTGGCATGACCCGAGTGGAAAACGTCAAAGATGCCATCTGCATAGACTCGGACGGGCCTGTGGACTGGAGGGAGAGAAATAAGACAGAGAGGAATTAATAAATGAGCCACTGGAGGTGAAGGCAATAAATAATGAGAGGAAACCTGCAGACACCCAACACAAGTTTTTGAAAACCAGAGGTGGAGCAGTACGAATGGACTCAAAAAATCAAACTCACGCGGTGTCCCCTTTTTGGCCTCTTCCATGGTGACTCTCTGGTAAGGTTTTTTATCAGCTGGCTCGAGCTCATCAGCAAAAGGCGCAGGGTTTTTCAGTCCCTAAACCATCCAAATGTGTGGAAAAAGAAAAGTGATTCACCCCAAGAACATCAAGTAGGAAAAATTTTGCTTTTGCTCTAGTTTTGCAATATTTTCCCCTTTAACAAAGCATAAGGATGTGGTAATAAATGGTCGTGTGTGTGAACTTAGCACTTCTTAACAGAGATCAGCAGCATTTTGAAACTCTGCTGCCTAATGATATTTGCAACACTGGAATATATAGAAATTAGCAAACGACATTGGGGGAACAGAAAACACAAGTCAGACACATTTCAAAACAAACAACAACAAAAAAAAAAGCTGAAGGACAGAGCTGACTCACCACAGTGCATCTGGGGATTTTCCCAAGTCGTTCTCCCTCTTCTGTCTCCCCGTTGGAGCCGTCTCTTTTTCTTTTCCTGGACATCACCGGCTCGTTGGAGCTCTGGGCCGCCATCTGGGCTCAACGGCAAAGACATATATGACCAAAACACACCACAGTTCACACACTCTGGTACACTGCATCCTTTAAAACACACTGCAGACACACACCCTCAACTTTGTACTGCGTCATGAGGGGCAAAGCTGGGGACACGGTTGCATAATTTTAGAAGACTGGACTGACTACAAATATGGACAACTGTGACATTATGGACGTCATGTGCTTGGTGAACTTTAACCCAGTAGAGAAAATGGAACATAACTCAACCTTCCTAGCCTTCTATTTGACTAAATGCAAAATTAAATAAAACGAGAAAAAAACTTGTAGAGATATTTAGAAAATAAAGGGATGATTTTTTTTCTGCAAAGTCTGACTGAGAAGTGATGATCATTACTGGACAAAGTACTTACGCATTAGATATTTTTTATTTTCTGCTGACATTTTTATGCATATTAAAACAATAAATAAATTCCAGTTTTTGCCATACTTAAAATAAAAAATGATTTTGCTCAGTGGTGTTGAATTCAAGGCTACGGATTGTTAAATGTTCTTCTAGACATTTTTTGACGTGGGTTTGCTTTAGAAAAACACTGATAATATTTCATTAATCAAAAAGACAGTTCCAACATCTGTAGTTTACCTCCCAGTTTATCTTTTGACACTTGTAACAAACCAGTAACACCCACAGGAAGTCTTACTTTGCTGTGGAGATTTCCTCACACCTTCTATCATCCTGTTTTTGGTGATGAAATAAAACATGCCAGTGTCAAAAAAGAAACAGGCCTCTGTCATAGCGCTGTAATTATACATTTACGGAAACAGAAAGTCGGTAATCTTGAATCAAAGGTCTCCATAAATACCAATCGTCTCAAAAAAAAGTAAAGCATAGGTTAAATAAAATGAATCACCTACATTTAGTTTGAAGGAGCAGCAAGAGGTACTAATGACTGCAGCGCTCATAAGAGATTATTAATAAAACTGTTAAGATATTTTCCCCTCTCACCGAATGAATGCGCTCAAATTACAGCCTGGATTTGTTTCCCTCTTCAGAACGTGAAACACGTCCAGAAGCTACATCGGATTAGTGACATCTGGAGCCTAATTTGGCCTTTATGATTGAGAAATTATAATTTTCCCTACATTGTAGAAGTTTTATGCTCCTCTAATCTATAAATGAAAAAATAAAATACAGTAGTTGCTGGTTCTTTGATTTTACAATGCCATGAACCATATTTACAAAACTTAAGAGGGTTTTGCAGACCTGGGCATTTTCTATTTTAAGTAAGTGGGGGTTAGAAATGCCTGTTGGGATCACGGAGGCTGCTGACCTCTGGAGCGGAGTTTTAAATCTGTCTGTGATCCCAACTCACACACTCCTCCAATCTATATGTCAGAATGCAGCAAAAGCAAGTAACTCAGTGCATGCATATAATTGCGAGCTTTCCGGTGTTACGGGTCGCGACTCTGCCCCATTCCTCACATTCCATCACGGTACTAAAACTGAAACCTCGAGTCAATTAAAGGGAGTGGTCACCATTCATACACCACTTCTTTATCTTGCTTTCACATAATAATCAGACTTCACTATTTACACCTATCACTTCTTTTTTGTGTTATGGTAAAGTCCACAAGCTATGAGAGTGTGACTAATTGTAATGGGTGAATAATGTAACAGTACACGTTCCAGGTGGTGGCGGTGACCCCTTCTCACACTGAGCAACTTGTACAAGCGTTTCCCCCTCTACACCCTTTTCTTTTAGCTGCAGCAGGAAGCCCTGCAGGGCTCCCACACTGACAGGAGATTTACATGAACAGCAGATGTCATTCTCATTGAAACTGACTACTATAATAAGAAAGGAACAAGAGATGGTGCCAAAGTCTTCTCTCACCACAAAAACAAGCGAACAAGGGCAGGTGGCTTGGGGGGCTTTTAGCCTCAATGTAATAGGCTTTACTGAGCCAAACTAAGATGGTTGTTGATTAACATTGATATCTTTGAAAGTGGAAAAACTCAAAAAATGTTTCAATGTTTCCACCTGGAGATCAGACATTAAACGTCTTTTCCTCTTTAATACAGAAATATTTCTTCTGTCTTGCTGATCGCCACCTTTCCAGTCTCAGGGCTTTAGCTGCATTTCCCAACATTTTTCTCGATAGGAGTGAAATATCACTGGCGCATTTTCTTTTTGCAGATTTAAAAATGCAACCGATTGCCAAAAGGTAAACTCTTCCCTCGGTCTGAAAGAGATCAAGAACAGCTGACGGAGTGGTTATTCTGGTGGCGCTGGCTGAGTAGATATCAGCCGTTAAAACCCTGACCTGTTGGTTGTTTACATTAAAGCTTCTTTTAATTTAAAACACCAAACACTCGACCTGCTATGTCGGCGTAAGATTTAACAACTGTCCCGAGTTCTTTCCAACTTACCGTGCACTCCTTTGTCCCGGAACCCTGATTTAAAAGGGTGGGCGGATTCCAACACCTCGTCCTGCCAGTGGTCTTAGCTAACGCCGCTAGCCGCCGTCGAAAGCTAGCTGTCAAGTTGTGTGGCTAAGTTAGTTAGCTTAAATCGTTAGCTAGGAGCCCACCTGACATCATTAGCACGAATAAAGCTCCATGAGCGACCAAATGACCGGTTCCAGCTGCGTCGGCGACAACTAAGCGACCGCCGAGGAGAGGGGTAATGTATTAGCGGTGACAGCTTGTACTACAACGCTGACAGGTCACCAACACAAGAACTACAAACCTAAGACATTCTAACAGGAAATGCCAAACAGCACGTTTCCGGTTAGCTGTTTTTATTGTGCCGCCGACTAGTGGACATAATGCTTCATGGCATGCTAATGCTGGGCCTTGCTGAAGCATTCAAACTTCAATATGTCTTATATTGAAGTTTTTATTTTTGATATCTAATGACAGACTACTCTTAAGTAGGAGACAGCAAAAGTGGAAGAAAAACAACATGTGGTTTTCAAAGCATACAATAAAAATACATGGGTTTTTTTGTGTGCGTGTTTGAGCAGATATTTTTGCAAAATGTGAAAATGAGTCTTGTGAAATCAAGCTATTCACCTATTTCCTACCAAGTAATAATTTTCTAACTTACTTAATATTTCCCGAGATGACTCTTTAGCTAGAAATAAGGGGAAACGTATTTGTCTTTGTTTTTTTGAGTCTGGACAATTCAAAAAAATTATTGCTTTTGAGTTGGCTCAAAAGCAATCACGGATGAGTGAATAACAGATGGATAAAATATTGACCAAAGTTTGACTTAAAAAAGATTTCACTAATAAATCTTTTTTGATATTGAAAAAACAGATCCAATAACAATTCCACATTATTCAATAGTTGCTTTAGTTATAGTTGCTTGAGAGGTTTTGTGTAGCAAAAACATTAACAAGGACTATTACCAAGTCAAATAATTCAATAAAACACTCCCAAAAAGTCATTAGAGTTGTTTATTGCTATGTTTTGCTTCATTTCATAATATGTGCTATGTCCTACAAAGTTAAACTGTAATTAATTACATTTCATTCACCTATACACAAATTTCAGTCATTTTCACCTAATGCAATGTATTGGGTAGCTCCTTAACTTCTTACAGGTAAACCACAAAACACACACTCTTAAATTTTTACTTTTTAAATTTATGACTCTTTCAAAAGGTCATTAAACAAACCCTCAAGACTATTGCTTCCCAAAGGTGCAGTAGCCTGATTTAGGTGTGTGGAAACAGAGAGGCACATAAAAGTTGGGGATTAGAAAATCTAGCTCTAGATTGGCTGCACAACGTAGAACTTGAAGATAGTTCACCAATTAGCCAAGAGAATGTCATTAGTGACAAGTGGAGTGATTGAAACTGTTCATCTTGTGGGAATATCAGAGCCTTCTCTCCACCGTAGCGAGTTCACTGAAATAACAGTACGAGGCAGTAATATAAATATCTGTATGTTCTGTATTCCTGACTGATTGCTGTGTAAGATAATCAGAACAGGCTCCGTAGGAACAGAGTTAGTATCTGTAGTCCTGTTTGAAGCCAGTACAGAATGTTGGAATGAGCTGTGCAAACTTTAAAAAGATGCTTGTCCTGCAGAGATTTTCATAGTAAGGTGTAATTTAAAGTTCACAGGGATGGATGTCCTGATGATTGAAACCTTCAGTGTTGTGCAACAAAAGGTGCTGTGCAGGAAGTAAAAAAGTGATCCCATGCTTTCTATTTACAAAGATCAATCTTTAAAAGGCTAAGTAAATGTCACTGTTACACTTTTTGTGAACCAGCAACACTTTAAAAATTGATTGCGTTGCCTGTTCAAGACACCTGTACACCGTTTCTCACTGCATTTATAAAGATCAAATGGGTTTTTGTGTAAATAGGATTAAATCTTTATTTAATCCCAATAAAATATTGTGCTGCAGAGGACACAACATATTTTATCCACAGTTAAGCATTATTGGCAGGTTTATTGGGTGAGGCAGTTGAAATAAATGCATATGATTTAAAGAGACGAGGTAGGTTCACCCTTCAATTTCTGTCATGTGGACTGAGCAATTATAGTATCATGTTAACCATTAGCCACCTGGCAGAAACCTTCAAACACGCTGTCTGTCTCTGGGTCTCTTTGATCACAGCCTCACCTGCTGCTCTGATAGATGGGATCTGCTCCACAGCTGAAGTGACGAACACAGAGGTGATTTAAACATTAAAAGAATAATGCTACACTCTTTTATGTTTGTGTGGCATTATACTCTAGATCCAAACACCGACACTTAAAGTTTTAGCCACCGTACATCCATCTTGTCACCCCTTTTTATGTGTGTTGATGAAACACATCCCCACAGCATGATACCACCACCACTATGTTGGTTCTAATTATTTATCTTCACCCAATATGTTGCATATATTGGCCAGAAAGTTACATTTTGGTCTCATCTTACCAGGACTCTCCCTTTTATGTTTGTTCTGACTCCTACAAGGATGGATGGATTTGGAATTGGGTTACAACCAAAGTGCAAATCACAAACAGTGGTGCTTTGGAAGATTCCACACAAAGAGTCACCTTCTATTGACTTTCTAATATAAAAAGATTGGACTGACCAACTAGACAATGAGTTTCTGCAACACTCCCATTTGGGTGGGGTTGAACCAGATCAACCAAGTAAATAAAACAGAACAATTCTCTCCAATACTCCAAGATTATACAGGACCAAGCGTCACTTTGTGACAGTCCATCACCTACAATAAAATAAATTCAGGCTTGTGATTGTAATGGGGCAAATGTAAAAGAAAAAAAAAATTACCCTACTACATAATGGTCTAAAAATTGGATCATTTGACAGGGTTCACGTCATTCAACCTTTAGTTTAAATACTTTGGTTAAAACAAGCTGTTCGGGATTCATGAACAAATGTACCACCTGTGTTACATTGGCTTGCTCTTTGCAAGCCTATTATTCCTGCATATTTCTAGGCAACTCAAACTATAGTTGACTCAGCTTCTTTCTCCTTTTAACCAGTTAAAAAGCCGTATCCAGCTGTGAACTCGCAGGGGGAATTTTCTGATGGCTGCACACAATCAACCCATTTAAGCAGGCATAAAATATATGTTCCTTTCCAACATAATTGTTTAACTTTCTTAATTTTATTGACTATGACATAAACACTTGCATGACTTTTTTTTGTCAGTTGTACGCTTTAAGAAGGCCTCGCAAAGAAGCTCAGCTACCTTCGCCGCGTGTGGCTCTTCTGCTGCAACAGCACTCTTTGTTGCTTTATGAGAACTCCTACTTTGTTTGAACCTCGCAATATACTGGTGTTTTATGTGCACTGGTCTAATGAATCCCCTGCCCCCCCCCAAACCATTTGAAGAAAAAATGCGGAATGGGTGGAGTTTGGCCCACTGGCTTTGGCAAGCCATCCAATCAGAAGGCCCGAGTTTCTGGGGATGCTCATGTCCAGTGGTGTTCAGCTGAGGGTGAGATCAGAAACATGAAGATGGAGCAAAAGGTAAGCACACTACCTTTATTGTGAAATCGTGCTTTAAAAAAATGGATAAAAAGAGAGCAAACTTTGCTGAACTACAACACTGAAACAAAACAAATTGTGAAATTATATGAATTTATTGGTCTGCTGATGTAATTCCAGATGTCAGCGATGGTTTCCCTGGCTTCATTATTGAGAAAACTCTGCTGCTTGCTGGTAATGCCAGGTCTGTCACTATAATCCCTATAAGGTTCTGCAAAAATAAACTGATGCTAATTTTAAGCACACAAGAATCTTTGTCCTTGTTCAAGTTTTGCGTCATTTTCATGCTTTTGTTTTCTGCTTACCTTGCAGTCTTGTTCATCTATTCACGGTGTTTACTGAATCTTTAATTTTATTTTATTTTGGGTGCTTAACTTAAAATCCCTGTCGTTCCTTTAGGTTTCATAGGAGCAACATCTCTGACGAAAGTAAAACAGCCTGACGGTATTTCATCTGCTATCATTTCAATCTGTGATCAGATTCATATGTAAAAGTAAAAATAAAAGGAATACCTTAACATAATTACATTTTTCAAGTCCACCAAAAGATTTTATCTGTAATTGATTTATTTATTTTAATCTTTAATCTGAAATCTAAACCAATTTTCATCTTGCCTTCTACAATCCCCTTTTACGTTGCCCTCCAAAGGAAATCCTGTCAGGATTGATTCTGCTAAAGCGAACAATTTCTTGGCGAACTTAAGACCCAAGAGGAACGTCGATCCCAAATGGTACCGAGGTGACCCTGACTTTCAGTCCTACTACAGTTTCTACAACAGCATCGGTCACATCGAAGGAGTGAGTTGACGACAAGCAGCGCACTGATTGAAATAAGCTTTAACGATCACTGTATTTTATGGGTTTTAACATGTTACATTTTTCCTCTAATGTGCCTTCTGGTTTCTCCATCAGCTTTATGAGATAGACCGCATCAGGATGTTGTATCAGCAGATGCGTCACCTGGAGCTGACCTATGGCCCCGACGCTGCCAGCTACATTAACAAAATGGGTGAAACAACCAGCACCGCAGGACCAGCTACAACAACTCCCCCTCCGACACCTCCCACCACCCCGGCTCCCACACCGGACCCACTGGAGAAAGCTGAGAAGATCTATCTGTGCAACCCCAAGGACCCTCTGTGCAAACCTCGGATTGTCTACCTGCCGACCGGAGCTGTCCCAATACTGTGTGACCCCAGACTCAACCTTGCATGCGGTGCTACAAAAGAAGAGGGGGTTAGAAATATTGCTCCATCTCAACCAACACCAGCCACTCCTACTTCTGGAAAGGCTATTTCACCTGTCCCTCCACCGGTCACCAAGAAAGGGATGGAATACGACTGTGACCCGTACTGGGATCCAGACTGCCTCATCGACCAGCCTGCACAGGAAGCATCGTCACCAGTAGCATCAGACGAGGAAACAACAGATGAAGGGAATGTTCCTGTTGTTTTAAATGGAGCTAAAAAGAAAGGGCCTGGCCCCTATTTTGACCCTTATGATTTCAAAAGTGACCTATATGACCCCTATCGTTATGCTGAGCCAGCTCCGGATCCACAATGAGAGCAAACTGTCCACAAAAAAGATGACAAATGGATCAACAGCAAGACCAGCAATGCAGGTTATGCTACAAATATTGCATAATTTCTTAGATGAAAAACAATACAGTGCCTGTACAATGTGAGAGACTAATGCACAATAACATCTGTTCACATGAAAACATAAATGAATAAAAAATACTTATCAGATAAATGCCTTCACAGGGTTTTTTATTTCTATTCAGTTGACAGAACCCCCCTTAATATTTATATAGCAGTAAAATAAAACAATATCTTGATTCTTGTAGCTTCTACTTTTTTTTCTTCAGGCTTTGTTTGCACAAGATTTATTTATTTTTTTAAACCATCACAACTTTCCACATCTTTCCATTGGTGCTTTTCACACATTTCTAATAAACGAAATAAAATAAAATAAAATAAAATAAAAAGTGGAAAGCAACGACAAAAAGCGAGTAACTATTTTGGTGAGCATGTCTTCCCTCCACCAGCAGAGGGCGGTAATTCTCTCCTGCCGTTTTGCGTTCAACCGCTAAAGACGACGATCGACGCAGCCTCTTCCAGCATCATCATCTCCACCCTCCATCATCTTTTTCTTGGGATCAAGCGGCCACAAAACTGGATTCTTTCTCCGCCGCGGCAGCCGAACCTAACTTCCGACGCCAGGTATCGACTCAGTCCCTCCTAATTGTGGCCTTTCATCCCGTTGGTCCGGGGACAGAGAGCAGTAAAGCTGTCCCGGAGCTTTGCTGCCGTTGCGGTCGGTATTGTGACGGTAGGCCCGCAGCCGGGGCTGCCCTGGAGATTAGCATGTTAGCACGGCTAGCTGTCCGGCTTTGAGGTGTAGCCGCCGGCTGGATCACGAACACATTCGCCCCGCGAAGCAGAGATTGCGATAAAACGTGACTCGAATCGGCGTGTTATTGCGAAGAGATACAATAAATAACAGTAACTCACAGCTGATTTGCCTCCGGTGTTGTTGAGCGGTGGGTTGAGTGAGTTCAGCATGTTAAACATTAACACCAGCAGGGTTGAACTTTAATGACATGATTATTTGTGGATGTTATTAAGTTGTTTGAGAGGCTGCCGATTTTTTGATCATCACAGCATATTGTACTGACTACATTTCTTATAAAAGTAACACAGCCCTGGTTGTTCTGTGGTGTTAATAAAGCAGATAAAGAGGATATTGTTTCCAACTGCAGGCAGCTTTCTCCACATGTTACCAGTGTGACAGGCCCAGGGCTACATGTACTTACTTTTTTTTTTTTTTTTTAAAAAGAGGAAAAACTGGAACAATGACATAAGACATTTGTATACTGGAAAAAATGATTGCGATAAAAATTAAAATACCATCAAATGTTTTGAATCTCTGCCTTCATGCTTATTTTATGTTTGATCTCTTTTGTGTATTTATATGTTTGGACATCACAATATCTGTTGATGACTCTTTTTTTTTTTTTTTTTACATTTTTTTACTAATGTGTGATACATTCCTAAGAAGCAGTCATAAACTGCAAATGACAATTGTGTCATTTGCTGACGGCCTTTCCCTCGTCCACAGCATGTCTGACAAGAGTGAGCTGAAGGCTGAGCTGGAGAGGAAGAAGCAACGGATCGCCCAGATCCGCGAGGAAAAGAAGAGGAAAGAAGAGGAGAAAAAAAAGAAGGATGTGAGGGATGCCTCCGTCGGGCTGCTCGTCGTTTTAGGCGGCTGCGTGGTGAGACGTTGGCGTGCTGACGGTGAGCCTGTTCCTTGCTCCGCAGGGAGAATCCAAACGTGGCGCGGACGGAGGGCCGGCCGGCGCCGAAGACTCGGACCTGGAGAGGAAGAGGAGAGAAGCCGAGGCTCTTCTCCAGAGCGTCGGCATCACCCCCGACGTCCCGCACGGTAAATGTGCAGCGTCGTCTCGCTCCTTTACCCCAAGCCATTGTTTAACAGCTCATCTTGTTCTGGTCATTCGCTTGATGACTTTCACAGCGTTTTAATAAAATGTCCGTCTTAATGCTTTTTGTTTTTTGTTTTGCCCAGCTTTGTATCACTCTCATTTGCTCTCCACGACACACACACACACACACACACAAATATGTGCACATGTTATGTGTTTTGCGCATGACACCTTAAAACCTGCCTGCCATTTATTTTCATTCTCTCTTCTCTCCCCTCTGTCTGTCCTCTTGTGTTTTGTCCTCCTTGCTGCATGAAAACTCATCCACTCACCTCCACGCGCACCTGCCCTTCAAACATTCACTGTCTCACTCGCTGTTCTCCCTCCCTCACTCACTCTCTCACTCACTCACTCACCCACCATCCGTTGGTCACATACTGCAAAACGCACACGCGCTCACAGCTCAGCCCCTGAGGGTAGTAACAGAAGATACGTGTCTGTTTCACTACCTAGTCCCCGCCCCCATGTCTCCCTCCAACAAATCAGTGGGCAGCGATGCTGGAAGCCAAGATTCCGGGGATGGAAACGCAGGACCAAGGTGTGTGTGGGAGTCTGTTTGTTTGAGACATAAGAGATTGAATTTGCTGTTTTTATTTTATGTTGTTTTTTTTTACAAGTACCTGCATGGAATTTTATGTGCGCGTGTGTGTGAACTTTGTAATGATACATGAATAAATTCTGACCTTTCTCTATGTCTTCTCACCACCATGCTAATGTTTAATGCCATTTCATTTTTTGTTTCCGGGTCTTTCTCGCTCTGTTTTTGTTTTTTTCTCCCCCCTGTCTTTCCCATCTTTAACATCTGACATGTTTTGGCCCTTCATCTCTGTTTGCGTTTCTCTTGTTTACTTTGTCCTGCGTTTCTCTTTACTAACACCGTCTGGTGATTTGGCTGTATAAGGACTTTGCATTGGGATCCTGACCCCTCCACTCTGCAACTCCACTCCGACTCTGAGCTGATGGGGTACTGCTCCTCCTCTTTCCTTTAGCTCGTCTTCCAACTATTTGTGCTTTCATCTTAGATTTGTCCAAACGTGTTAGCTTTTTGCATCGAATTTGTCTGTATACCATTATTTATGTCCATTCGAGAAAAGATTTAAATTGTAATATATATATACATATATATGTTTTTTTACCTAATTCCAGTCTAATAATGAAAACTTTATTCTATCCCAATTGTCTAGACGTGGAACGGTAAGGCTTGGGATGTCCAAACTCATCCAGGTGGATTTTGTCCCCAAGGAAATGGTGTCCTACTCCAAGGAGACACAGACACCCACAGAGGCGTTGGCTCACACGGATCAGAAAGCGGGTAATTCACCACTGATACGGTGTTTCTATTCTTGTTTCCCTTGACTCAAGTTGATTCACAGCGATCTGCGTCTGTGTCTAGATGAAGAGGAGGATGAGGAGATAAGTGCTCCCCCGCTGACGGAGGACACCCAGGACGAGAAAAATGAGCAGAGTGAGCAGCAGGAGGAAGGTGAGGACGGCCAGTTATCTAGACGTGCAGAAAAAAAATTCGCTGCTGACCAGAATTGGACGATTTTCAGTCTGATCAGGTGTGATCGGTTGACTGCCTGGTCAGAACCTCAAAAATTCAACCTTTTCCGATCAGAGAACTCGCTATATTTTAAGATTTCTGCTGGGTATAAACAAGTCATGAGATGAATCTCAATTTTATGCGCTAATTAGGTTGAGGTTTTTCATAATAGCTCCTGAACTACTATGGTAGCATCTTGATATTCTCCATTAAATAATTCATTGCTTCTTTTTTTATTACTTTTTTATAGAATCGAGGTGTCATTTTATGTAGCAAAACAGAAATTGGTGTTCTGCTTATTAAATTACAAAAACATTCACGTCACCTGTTACTAATAATTCAGTTTTTCCCCTTCATGTAGCTCTTAAATTTCAACCACCAGGGTCTCAAAAGCTACGTCAAAGGAAGCTATTTGATGTAGCTGCTCCTGCTGGAGACTAAGAGAGAGTGAGACTTCTGCAGAAAACTAAAAACCTGAAGGGATTTCAGATTTTTTTTCCTTTTCTGATTTGAACTTTGTGTCTAATTTACATTATTATTAATTGCTACATGTTTGAACCGTTTTTCTCCTAACTGATCTATGACAGCACAATGCGCCGCCTATATATAAAAAAAGAGCTTTTCTGTATTTCCGTCCTGTGACGTTTCTTTTTCCGTGCGCAGACACTCCCAAGGAGCTGACAGAGGAAGAGAAGCTGCAGGTCCTTCATTCTGACGAGTTCTTGTCGTTTTTCGAGCGCGGCAGCCGAATCGTGGAGCGAGCTCTGGCCGAGCAGGTGGACGTCTGCTTCGACTACAGCGGGAGGGATCTGGAGGATAAGGAAGGGTGAGGCATGTGGGCAAAGCAGATTCACAGATATCGAACGCTAGTTTTGTTGGAATCAACATTGTATGTTTCCTGTCCTTTTTAGTGACTTGCAGACAGGAGCGAAACTGGTTCAGAACAGGCAGTTTGCAGACGAGCGCTGGACCAAGAACCGAGTGGTGACCTGCCTCGACTGGTCTCCTCAGGTGGGATGAATTCAGACAAATCACCTGCGACAGGATTATAAGTGCTCAAACTGTGAAGGAGACTTTCCATTGGTGTATTTTTTACCAATAAATATACAGTAGGCTAGGGCTGGGCGATATGGACCTTGCATGGCACAGCAATCAGAGCCCCATAAACACAAATACTGCTCTTGAAAAACAAAGCAAGAGTTTAATTTGTTTAGCAGAAAACCCGGACCAGTAATTTGAAATGTACCTTGACGCTTGAAGGAAACTGTTTCACGTCAGAACAGACAGAACGCTCAGTCGGCTTTGGAAGAGAACTTGTTTGGTCTCGCTTTGACGTCTTCCCCCTGCTCTGATCGTCTCAGTACCCAGAGTTGCTGGTTGCCTCGTATAACAACAACGAGGACGCTCCACATGAGCCGGACGGCGTGGCTCTAGTCTGGAACATGAAGTACAAGAAGGCCACGCCTGAGTACATCTTCCACTGCCAGGTAACCAGCGAAGTGCTCCGCGTGCTCTATGAAGAGTTCCTACAGTCTGAAAAGAAGAACGTGTTTGGAGATTCTTTTGCCTTGCCTACAGTCCGAGGTGATGTCGGCTGGTTTCGCCAAGTTTCACCCTAACCTGGTGGTGGGCGGGACTTATTCCGGACAGATAGTCC